CCCGTGCTGCCTCTGATACAGAGGCAGCAAAGGTTGTGTGTGTGCACGCACATATGTAGTCATTAGGGTTAACTGATAAGCCCAAGCTTATCAGTTAATCATGTAAATAACTACGTTAACTTCCCTACTCTAAAATATATTGCTTTACTTTGCATAAATAAAAAATTTCAAGTTTGTTAACATTTATATTAATTTCACTAGAATTAAAGCCTCTGATACAGAGGCAGCAAAGGTTGTGTGTGTGCACGCACATATGTAGTCATTAGGGTTAACTGATAAGCCCAAGCTTATCAGTTAATCATGTAAATAACTACGTTAACTTCCCTACTCTAAAATATATTGCTTTACTTTGCATAAATAAAAAATTTCAAGTTTGTTAACATTTATATTAATTTCACTAGAATTAAAGACGTTTATTCAGCCATATCTATTGAGTAGATCCTTGTCATTGGAGTATATTTTCCCTTAATTGCATAAATAGATTATTGTGACCATAAAACCACAACATACACAATGTCCAAAAAAACTGCACTTAGCACTCAAAGAGAAACACATCAAAAAATTCTCCAAAATAAAATATTCACTTACTCCTTATCTCTAAGTGTCAGTTTCCTTGTAAAATCATATTAAATAATTCAGGGCTAGAGGCAAAAAATTCAATAAGAACATAAGAACGGCCGTACTGGGTCAGACCAAAGGTCCTTCTAGCCCAGTAAACTGTCTGTTGACAGTGGCCAGCACCAGGTGTCCCAGAGAGGGTGGACCGAAGACAATGATCAAGCGATTTGTCTCCTGCCATCTCTCTCCAGCCTCTGACAAACAGAGGCCAAGGACACCATTTTATCCCCTGGCTAATAGCCTTTTATGGACCTAACCTCCATGAAATTATCTAGCTTCTCTTTAAACTCTGTTATAGTCCTAGCCTTCACAGCCTCCTCTGGCAAGGAGTTCCACAGGTTGACTACACGCTGTGTGAAGAAGAACTTTCTTTTATTAGTTTTAAACCTGCTCCCCATTAATTTCATTTGGTGTCCTCTAGTTCTTCTATTATGGGAATTAATAAATAAACTTTTCTTTATTCGCCCTCTCCACACCACTCATGATTTTATAGACCTCTATCATATCCCCCCTCAGTCTCCTCTTTTTTAAACTGAAAAGTCCCAGTTGCTTTAACCTCTCCTCATATGGGACCCGTTCCAAACCCCTAATCATTTTAGTTGCCCTTTTCTGAACCCTTTCCAAGGCCAAAATATCTTTTTTGAGGTGAGGAGACCACATCTGTACACAGTAGTCAAGATGTGGGCGTACCATAGTTTTATACAGGGGCAGTAAGATATTCTGGGTCTTATTTTCTATCCCTTTCCTAATAATTCCTAGCATCCTATTTGCCTTTTTGACCGCCATTGCACACTGTGTGGAAGTTTTCAGAGATAACTCCAAGATCTCTTTCCTGATTTGTCATAGCCAAATTAGCCCCCATCATACTGTACGTATAGTTGGGGTTATTTTTCCCAATCTGCATTACTTTACACTTATCCACATTAAATTTCATTTGCCATTTTGTTGCCCAATCACTCAGTTTGGTGAGATCTTCTTGGAGTCCCTCACAGTCTGCTTCTGTCTTGACTATCCTAAACAGTTTGGTATCATCTGCAAACTTTACTACCTCACTGCTTACCCCTTTCTCCAGATCATTTATGAATAAGTTGAAAAGGATTGGTCCCAGGACTGACCCTTGGGGTACACCACTAGTTACCCCTCTCCAATCTGAAAATTTACCATTTATTCCTACCCTTTGTTTCCTGTCTTTTAACCAGTTCTCAATCCAAGAAAGGACCTTCCCTCTTATCCCATGGCCATGTAATTTACACAAGAGCCTTTGGTGAGGGACCTTGTCAAAGGCTTTCTGAAAATCCAAGTATACTATATCTACTGGATCCCCCTTGTCCGCATGTTTGTTAACCCCTTCAAAGAACTCTAATAGATTAGTAAGACAGGATTTCCCTTTACAGAAACCATGTTGACTTTTGTCCAACAAATTATGTTCTTCTACATGCTTCACAATTTTATTCTTTACTATTGTTTCGACTAATTTGCCCGGTACTGAAGTTAGACTTACCGGTCTGTAATTGCCAGGATCGCATCTAGAGCCCTTTTTAAATATTGGTGTCACGTGGGCTCCCTTCCAGTCATTAGGTACGGAAGCCAATTTAAAG